ATTATTATTATTATTATTATTATTATTATTATTATTATTATTATTATTATTATTATTATTATTATTATTATTATTTCTATTTGCTTAAATTTAATAATTATTATTATTGACTCAAATTTAGTGGTTCATACCTAGATTCATATTATTTTCTGTTGAAAATTTTTTGGGAGTATTTTTATCTCTATAACATCGATAGCATTCACCTTGGTAGAGAATTATAGATGGAAAACGTTCATCACATGTCAGGCAAAATTCACTTTTGGTTTTTGCCATTATTTTGCGAAAAGTGTTTAAAAGGTTTCTATCAGATTCCGAAAGTTGTCCACTTTCCACAATAGGTTCATTATTGGCTTCTGCTTTTTTTTTACTCCATTGAATACGTCTATGTTCAAGACGCACTTCTCTCTCTTCTATAGTTTTTGTGTCAATTTTTTTTTTTCTATTCCGATCACGTGCAAGGCGTTCTTCTCGTTCCTCTGGTGTTTCTGCATTTAATTTATTTTGCCTTTGGCTACGTTCATATTCAATACGTATTTTTCTCTCTTCTTCTGTTTCCTCAGCTCTCTTTTTTTTCCTCTGATTACGTCTATTGGCAAGACGTAATTCTCGCTCCTCATAAGTTTCTACTGATCGTGTGTGATCATTAGTATCTTCAACATTCATTTTAATAAAATAGGAAGAATCGTAAGTATTAGCAAAAAAAAAAATTTTCAAAAGTTTACTTCAATTTATTACTTCATTAAACTTTTTTATTTACATAAATTTTAATGATTACAACTATAATTGAAACTACGTATGTAATTCACTGGCGTTAATAAATTTAAAATGAGAAATATTTATTGATTTTTTACAATGATTTTTGCTTTATTCCGAAATGTTGCCTTTAATATTAAACATCCCTTTTTATTTGAGCTAATAATTGGCATTAAAAAACAATACACGCTAAATTCATTCATTACATAAAATTATATTATTATAAAATCGTATACAGATGTTATTATTTCTTGTTTATAAGTGCTGCATTTAAAACTTAAATTAATAATACGTCATATACCGATAAAAATTTATAATGTACAGTACTATATACTACTAAATTAAATTTATAATATATATTTGAGTTCAAATACTTTTTATCTAATTTTACACCCCCTTAAATCCACATGGAACCCATTTTCTCTCACTAATGTCTGGACTTAATTTGATAATTTGAATATTTGAATTCAAAAACTTTTTATCTAATTTTACACCCCCTTAAATCCACACGGAACCCATTTCTCTCACTAATGTCTGGACTTAAGTTCCTCCGCTCTGCTCCGGAAATAAAAAGAGTTGATCAAATTTGGTCAGGTAGGTGCCAAGATATCTTCGAAAACAATTTTTGTCACTGCTTATATTTGATAGGTGTTTAAAATTTTACAAAAACTTTGATCGAAGATATCTCAGCATCCACCTGACCAAATTCAATCAACTTTTTTTCTTTAAATTCTACAACTTTCTATAGTTAAAATAAAAAAGTTGATCGAATTTGGACAGGTGAATGCCGAGATATCTTCGATTAATTTATAAAAAATTATATCTACATGGGTGTGGCATTATCAAAAAAAGGTGTAGAAATATCAATTCCCTAAATTTAAATATATAATTAATTAATTAACCTCTTCAAATTGATATGTTAGTAGATAATATTTATAGGGAATTGCTATTCGTACCCCAAATTTGCTAGCTATACCCCATATAAATTAAAGTTTTTTGAACTTTGAACGAAGATAGCTGACAGCCACCAGGCAAAATTCAATGAACTTTTTTTTTATTTGAATTCTATGCATTCATAGAATTCAAATAAAAAAAAGTCCATTGAATTTTGCCTGGTGGTTGCTGAGATATCTTCGCTCAAAGTCTTTAAACGTCAATCAAAACTCAATTTTTTTATGTTTTGAGTGAAGAGATATCAACACTCACCAAGCCAAATTCAATGAACTTTTTTTTATCTGAATTCTAAGAATCTGTAGAATTTAAATAAAAAAGTTTGTTGAATTTGGCTTGATGATTGTCAAGATATCTTCATTCAAAATTTTAAAAACTCAACGCCTACGAATAGAAACTGCTCCAAATTTTTTTTATTCTTTGAGCAAAGATATCTCAGTAACCATCAAGCCAAATTTGATGAACCTTTTTTTATTTGA